GAAGGAGGAGAAGGAGGAGGAGGAGGAGAAGGAGGAGGAGGAGGAGGAGGAGGAGGAGGACGAGGACGAGGACGAGACGAGGAGGAGGAGGAGGAGGAGGAGGAGGAAGAGGAGGAAGGAGGAGGAGGAAGGAGAGGAGGAAATAGGAGGGAGAGAGGGAGGGAGGAGGGAGGGAGGGAGGAAGAACATAACACGCCCTGCACCTTGCAGCCGAAGCATGGCTTCGAGGAGCGTGGGGAGGGGGCGGGGCTCCGCCCCCCGTGCCCTGCCTCGTCTTGTGGGTGCCGCTGGCAGCCCCTCCATCCTCCTCCTTCGCTTCCTCCTCCTCCTTGTCCTCCTCCTTGTCCTCCTCCTCCTCCTCCTCCTCCTCCTCCTCCTCCTCCTCCTCCCTCTCCTCCTCCTCCTCCTCCTCCTCCTCCTCCTCCTCCTCCTCCACCTCCTCCTCCTCTTCCACCTCCTCCTCCTCCTCCTCCTCCTCCTCCTCCCTCCTCCTCCTCCTCCTCCTCCCTCTCCTCCTCCTTCTCCTACTCCTCCTCCTCCTTCTCCTCCTCCTCCTCCTCCTTCTCCTCCTTCTCCTCCCTCCTCGCCCGTTCGTTCGCCCACGAGCCGCGAGGACCACTGCATGGAGTGGCCTCCAGACTCCGGCAGGTGGGTCTGCGGCCATTGCGTGCTGGAGCCCGGGCCGCGCCTCGCGACCGGCGTGCGGGCCCCAGCAGAGCGGCGGCCGCTGAAGGCCGGCCTGGCCAGGCAGGTCGTCGTCGTCGTCGTCGTCGTCGTCGTCACCGTCGTCGTCGTCGTCCGTCGTCGTCGTCGTTGTCGTCGTTGTCCTCGTTGTCGTCGTCGTCGTCGTCGTCGTCGTCGTCGTCGTCGTCGTCGTCCTCGTTGCCTGGCTAGGCAGATCGTCGTCGTCGTCGTCGTCGTCGTCGTCGCCCTGGGCGCGCGCCCTGGGGTCTTCCCATATCGGCACGGTCTACTTTCGATCGTACCTGGCTGCGTTCTCGCGCAGCTCGAGGCGATTCCGCGCGGGCGTCAGGGGCTTTGCGCTCGTTGCGTTGGCCGCGCGGCATCTCTCAAGGGGTGCGTAAGCGCCCCGGTTCTCTCCCCAGTGCCATACCAGATTTTTCGACTAGCCGTAAGAGTGACCTTTCGCCGTAGTGACCTTCGGTGCGAGCACACTGGGGGCACCCAAATCGCTGAATGCGATGCGATAGCATCGGTCTGCGCGCTTGGGCTCGGCCCCCTCGCGCCGCCCCTCAAGAGCCGCGCGCGAGGAACGCAAGAGTGACCTCTCACCGGAGTGACCGCTTGCTGCGGGCCCACTGGGGCCACCCGATCGTTGAGCGCGAAGCGGCAGCAGCGGCTTGCGCGCCCGGGGGTTGGCCCCCCCGCGCCCCCCCCCCCGTTCAGCCGCGCACCAGAAAGGTCACTCTTGCTCGGGGTCGCTCTTGCGTGCCGCCGGCCGGGTCTCCCCAGATCGGTACGATCGATGTGGGTACTCCAGAGTTCGTAATAAAAGGGGAGGGGGTCTGGACCCTCCAAGACAAGCCATGTCAGACCTCCCCCGTGGGAGAACCCTCCAAAACATCGTCCCCAGACCCCCCCCCAGGCCCTCCAAGGTAGCCTGGAAGAGACCCCCCCCCCCCCCCCGAAATGAGACCCCCCTCCCTTGATTACGAAATCTGGAGTACGGACAGAGCGGGGGCGAAGACCGACAGCAGTTCCTGCACATTCTGAGCAGGATTCGCCGTCGATGCCGCCGCGGGGGCCTCGCCCGCCCGGGGCAGAGGACCGCCTGCCCAGCCTCTGCCGCCGTCGGCTCGAGACAACGTGTCCCAGCCCTCCCGTGTTGCTGGGTGCTCTCTTTGAATCGAGCGGCGTGGTCTCCACCCTCCTTCTCCCGCCTCCTCGCTCCTGCCTCCTGTGCCCTCCTGCCGTCTGGTTCCTGATTCCTGCGTCGCCGTCTTGTCTGTGGGGTGGCCTTGCCTAGGGGTTGCGATCACTGGGGGGGGGGCTGCGATCTGCGAAGCTGTCGGCACTTTCGTGGGCTCCTGGGAGGCCCAGCCCAGCGGAGGTACGTCCCACGCGGACCACCACTATAGCTCGCGGTGCCCTGTGGGGCTGCGATCTGCGAAATTGTCGGCACTTTCGTGGGCTCCTGGGAGGCCTCGCCGCCCCCTGTGGGGCTTGCGATCTGGGCAACTGTCGCCACTTTCGTGGACTCCTGGGAGGCCCAGCGGAGGTACGTCATACGCGGACCACCTCGGGACCTCGCCGCCCTCTGGGGGGCTTGCGATTTGCCGTTCTTCTTGCTGCGCTCTTCTGAGATCACTGCTGGGTGCTCTTCTTGCGCACTGCGGGTCCTTCAGAATGCCAGTCAGCGTTGAGCGGTCCTGAGTATAATCGCCACATGTATAGAAAGGGTTGGGTACGTCACAGGGTAATTTTACAACGCGATCATGTCTGGGCTTCGAGGCCCGAGGTTGTCGGGGGCTCGAGGTTCGAGGATCGATCGAGGCTCGAGGCTGTCAGGGGCTTGCGCCTCTTCTCGTCGGTGTCGCAGCCTCGGGGTGCTCTCCAGCAGCTGCGCCTCGCCGCGCGCGCTCGGGGGGCGCCCGGACCGCCCGGGGAACGGCCGCCGCAGCCCCGAGCCGTGGCCCGAAGGCCCCCTTTTTGCTGCGGCCCCGTTGGGGCCGTGGAGAGGTCGCGGCTGCCCCGGCTGGCCCGGCCCCTTTTGGGGCCCCTTTGGGGCTTCGAGGAGCCTCCGCGCGTCGATCGGGGGGGGGGTTCTCACGTTCTCCGGCGTGTGGCGGTCACTATAACCCGGGCCCGCTGTCCCCCGGGCAGCATCGAAGATCGTGCGCAGGGGGGGGGGAGGCGGGACCCCCGCCCCCCACGTGCTGGAGCGATCGCAGCGCACCGCCGCCCCGGCGTGCCCCACCTCGCCCAGGGGCTCCTGCCTCCCGGGGCCCTCCCCCCCCCAGGAGAGGGCGGGGAGCGAAGCCGGAGGCAGCGTGCTCGGCGATGGCAGGAGGCCGCAGGAGAGGACCTGGGCCACGCGCCAATGATGCATGAGGCAGACCTGAAGTCACGCGGTGGTCGTTCTGTTCTTCACTGTCTTGCCGATCGGCGCGGGCCCTCCCCGCCCTCCCCGCCCTTGCTGGATCCGCCGTACTTTGGTTGATGTTTCGATCCGGATTGGTATAGGGAGCGCACATCACATGGCGCGAAACCGTGGGGCGGAAATGTCCGCCTCAGAGAAATTGGGCGGGCGTTCAGCAGAAACAGCGACGACAAAGTAGAGCGGGCATTGACGTCATGGGCGGAAATTTCCAACCCATGTGCGACATCTCCCAGACAGTATACTGCGGATCTGGAGTCAGGGCCCCCCAGGCAACGACCGCTACTGGACATGAAACAAAAAACATAGCATCTGGCTCTTGATTTATAGCATCAAGATGGCATCGTCAACTGCGGGGCCGGATGGCAGCCGCGCCTCGCAAGCCGCGGTCTGGGCCGTAGAGTTGCCCATTCTCCAGGCTGGCCTCGCGAGTCGCGAGGGCGCGAGGGCAGCCCGCGCGTCGCGCGCCGCGGTGCATCGCGGGGCGCGGTGCGCGCAGTCGGGTGGCTCGGGCTGGAGGTGACATGCTGAAGCGGGCACGATGCAGCGAGGTGCCCGTCAGCTCAGAACGCCACGTGGAAGGTTCCAAAACGGACCTTGTCTGTCAGGATCGAGGGAGTTGCCATCTCTTCTGCGGCGGAAGAGGGGCAGCAGAAGCCAGCGGAAGGCCGGCGGAAGGCCGGCGGAAGTAAAGGATGCGCCCCCAAGAGGTGACAATTTTTCGGGGCTCAGGGTTTCTGGAATCGGCCACGTGAGCATTCGACCCAGCAGGCTTTGGGCACGTCCGCCAGCCGCCCCCCCCCCGTTTCTCAGGGTCAGCAAAAACGCCCCTACCCTGGTTTACGAGGCGCTGTGCTCTGAACCTCCTGTGGGCTGACAGGGTAAACCCTGCGTGATATGCCGCGTCCTGGCGGCTCTAGGCTTTGGGGGCTCCCAGGAGGTTTACAGACCACGCACTTGTAATCCAGGGTAGGGTCGTTTTTTCATCCCTCAAGTTTCAGGAGCAGACCCCCATCCAGAGCTCGGACGGCGCACCGCGCGAGTGGCGCGTTGCCACGTGCACCGCGGCAGAGGGTCGGGCGCCTCAATGGCGGCGCGCCCCGGCTGGGCGCCGCGCGGTTTTGCCGTGGAGCTGCTGGTTCTCGCACGCTGCGCATTCGATGGAGCAGGCTTCTTTCGCAGCCGGCACGGCGAGAGCCCCGACCTCGGAGCCTGCGGGACCGTCCCCCCAGGTGCAGTCGGGGCCCGGAAGAAGGGACCCTTTTCGTTGGGGAGGGGCTCCGCGTCCCTGAAGTGTTTCACAGCTTGCCTTAGGCTCTCCCTATGTTTTCGACAGGAAATCGAAGGTTAACTCATGGACAAAAAAGGGACCTTGTTCCCTATTTAGGGTTCCTTAGGTCAACGCCACGACTGTAGCGCCCTCCGGGATGCCCCCCCCCCCCCCCCGGGACTTTCCTTTACCCAGCTGGGCTCTCTTGGTCGCAGTGCTCGCGGGAAGCTTCGGTGGGCCAAGGCAGCTCGGGAGCGCACGCCGCCTGCTGCGCTCTGGCAGCTCGGCATGTGGCCCAGGCGACCCCGGAAGTATTTCCAGAGGGCTCCCAGTTGCGAGCCAGATGAAAGACGCATGTAGAGAGAAAGAGAGAGAGAGAGGGAAAGAAGCAAACAAAGAGAGACAGAGAGAGAGAGAGAGAAACTTGGCTATCGGCTACCAGGAGGGGGTGGACGTGCGCTTCATCATCGTAAGAATACGCAGACGAAGTTCACACTGGCGATGCACCGTGTCTTGCTAGGCAGGTGCCCGTCGACTTTCAGGTGAAAGTGCTGTACTCCTGTTCGTTGAAGTCATCTTGGGCCCATGAAGCGTTAGGCCGTAGCAGTGTTAGGCAGTGTCTGTGCGCGATGTGAACTTCGCATAGCAGATCTGTACTGCTAGTGCTGGTGCGTGGCAGCTCTGCTTGCAGTTCGACGGCGTCTACCGCATGGTTCTATTCGGCTCAAGCTAGCTTGGCTTTGGGGCTTGGGAGTGGGCTCTCGTCTCCAGGGCCGCCGGCCGGCATGGAGCCTGCAGGTTGGCTGCTACCGCCTGACTGCTGCCTCTCGGCTCAGTGCTGTCGCGCGAAGTCCGGACATGGACGTGCCAGTCGCGCCGGATTTGCTCGAGGCCGTGCTGCCAGAGGATGCTCCTGCTGGCCACGAGGCGTGGCAGAAGATCAAGTATAATCTCACCCATTCGTCCCCTTACTGTTTCTTCAAGTTCGAGTCGCAGAGGTTCCAGACGACGCTTGCGGCGTGCCTCACCAAGGAGGCCATGCTGCGCGTGGCCCGGGCCTGCTACGTCAAGTTCTCGGACGGAGAGCCCAGAGAGCGGGTCCTCGAGTTCAGGTCAGCGCCGCCCAAACATCGGAGGTTGGGTTAAGTCGGGCATGTCCCTCTACAGGATGGATATTGAAAAAAAAATCGTTTTGTGCCGATTTTCCATGATATGTTCAATACTCCACAAGTCGTATGGACATATTTTTCTGAATACTGGTTAGGCGAACGTACGATGCACCCGGTTGGAAAACACGATGCACCGCGCGGCGCCACCATTATTGGTTTTGCCGCGTTTGGTGGCGGCAGCGCGCGCTATCGGGTTTTACCAAAAGCGCGCGTCTATGGCGATGTGGTTCGCGCAACGTGCACAATGAGGGCCGGCCGCGCGCTACATCTTGGACTGGGTGGCGCGTCGCTGCGATTAGATCTTGCGCGCGGCGTGGGCAATTCGACGAGAACCGTTAGACAGTGGCCCCGCAGATTTGGACCCCTGCTTTTTTCTCCATTTTAATACGCGCGTCCACAAAATCCGCCCGACAAATCATTGTGGCCGCTGGCAGTCAAGTTCTCGCTGCAAGACCCCAGTTCCCCCCCTGTTTACCCCTTCGCTCCTGCGCGCCATCATTGTGCGTCCTCCCCGCCTTGCTCCCCCTCAATAGGGTGTCGCGCATAGACCGGGTTTCTTGCGCGAGGGGCAATCGTGACCGGACAAGGCATGCCCCCATTGATGCTATCATCGAGTAGTTATGAGTGAAGTAGGAGTTGGGATGGAGCACGGTATGAGTGGACTGGGGGTTGTCCGCGAGTCAGGTTGAGTGCAACTGGGCGCAGGATAAGGTTAGAGCCGGCTCCGAGTGAGGCAGAATTGGAGTCGGCGTAGAACTGTCATACAGACAACCGCCAGTTCATATATACAAAGAAAGGAGGAGACTTGCATGTGCCATCGTAGTGGGGCAGAGTAGATAACGGTGCAATTAGGCGTGCGATGGGGCGAAATACGATTAGGGCTACATGTGCACAGTCGCATGTAAACATACGAGCGCAGCAAACTTGATCTCCATCCATTGGATCGGTAAGGTGGTCGCGCGCATCGCGCGGAGCCGAGTGTAGTGCGCATTCAGCCAGGGCAGAGCAATATGCCTACTTGCGTACGTGTGCACATCTATGTACATATACTCGTGTGCACAGATCGGTGGGCCCAGTACGCACGCTGTAAAGCAGGACTGGGAGCCTGCGGCGCGCCCCAATCGTCGCCGGCGCCGCCGGGGCATCCAGAGCGCAGACATGCGTCGTCGCCGGCGCAGCAGTAGCACCTCGGTTGCCCGGAGCGAGTGCCCGACATGCTCCGCGAGTTTACAAAATACTCCAGCGCAGGATGTCGCGCTTGCCGACCGCGCAAAATGCTCCACCGGATGAGTTCAAGCGCAATTCGCGCACGACAAACTTCAACCGTATATCCCGCAGATCTCAAATACGGAATACTCCCGTAGATTTCCCATATTTTTGAAGCAGTCCAAAAATGCCCCCGCTGATTTCACGCGCTCCAGAAATAGGCCAAACATACCCCACACTTACCCCAAAATATTCCAAATGTGCTCCAGTGCCATTTGCGAAATTTCAAAATACTCCAAAGATATTCCAATGCCATCTTCGACATTTCAAAAATACTCCAAAGATGCTTCAGTGCCGTCTGCGAAATTTCAGAATACTCCAAGGATCGCCCAGTGCCATTTGCGATTCTCTGAAATTTCCCAAAGACCCGTCAGGGCAATTCGCGAATTTCGTGAATCCTCCAAGGACATTCCCCTGCCATTTGCGAAATTTCAAAATGCTGCAGGCATGCCCCCGCGGGGCTCTCTGAGAGATCAAAATGCAGCAGGAGAGCGCTCACCGACCATGTGCGAGAGATCAAAAAGCCCCAGGACGCAGCGCGTTGCCATCTTCGACGGCGCCAAGTCTTCACATGATGCCCCCCCCCCCGTGTTCCCTTGAAAGCACGACCGTGAAGTGGGCACCGTGAGATTTCTTCGAGGGCGCGAAAATCTCGCGGCGATGCCCACCCTCTCTCCCCCTTCGCCCGAAATCGCGCCGCTGTGGCGCATGGCAGCGGGCTCGCTAGCGGTTCAAATGCCCCGCGTCAGGGCTGCCAAACGCGCGGCGCGCACTGCTTACGCGGTGCCCACTTGGGCTGAAGAGCGCACCGCAAAAAAGCCGAGCGCATGTCGTTCCGCGCCGCAGAAGCGTCGCGGTCTCATTCTGCGTGCCCGATCCCGCTGGGAGACCGGCTCTCAACGCGCGCGCGTCAAACGTGCGATGCGTCTTGCGCGCGCCACGCAGCTTTCAGTCGAACAAGGGCCCGCATTCTTGCATCCATTTTTGGACCCAGTTTGCCCGCGCACCCGCTCTCGTTTTTATTGACAATCATCTGCAAATTGGGGAGGGAGGGGGCGCGCTGGAAGGGGGCCGGTCGATCGCTCGATCGGAAGATTAATCGATCGGCCGATCGATAACAAGGACAAGTTTGCGGCCTTCCGCCAGCCCCTGCGGGCCCTTAATTTTATTATGCGGCGCTTCTCGTTTGCCATCTGCACGCGTTGCGATCAGCGGTTGTCTTTGGATCGTCTACACGTTTGGATTGGCTGTTTTCTGGCGGGCCCCTTCGCGCGCCCTCCAGGTGCGCGCTGCGTCTGTCGCTCGTCCCCGAGGTGAGCCCTGCGGCAACGAACCGCGCGGGGCCGGCTGAGTGCGCGGCTGGGTCGGTTCGTTATCGGGCGGGCGCGAAGCCATTGACTGGGCATCGAGTTTTTCTTGTAGCGACATAAGCGCGGCCATAGTTCACGCGGCGTTGAAAAGGCGCCCCCTGTGTCTGGCGCGCAGAGCGCTGTGCATTTTACGCGCGCCGAAACGCGCGAGGGGGAAATCGCGATAACTAGGCAATCCCCCAGCAGGGACCGCGGCTTTCCGACGCATCTTTAGAGTATCCCCCAAGTCTTTGGAATGTGCTTTTTTATCAATGAAAACATATGTTTGGACTCTTTCTAGTATTTCTTAACAAAATCGCCTGTGGGAGGACATGCCCGACATAAAGGTTGGGGGGTGTGATGGCAGTGGGACTGAGAGCCCCCCACCAGGAAATCGGTTTCAGTTTCGCGTCCGTGTCGCGCGCGCGGGCGAGGCGAAGTTGGGTGGGCGCGCGACAGGAATGACGCCGCCGTGGCTAGGGGCTGTGGAGCCGATTGTCCAGCCCTCCCTTCCCCAGCACGCGGTGGCCCGTGGTGTCCCGTTGGTGGCGCGTCGGTGCCCTTTCGGTGGCGCGGGGTGCCCCGTCGGTGGCACGGGGTGTCCCGACGGTGGCGCTGGGTGTTTCGCCGTGGTGTGTCGATGGTAACTCGTGAGAGCAGTTGGGAGATCGGTCGCGATCGTGAAATTGATCGCGAGATCGAGAGAACGATCGTGATATCGATAGTGAGATCGATCATAACAGATATTTGGCTTGGCTGGTTGTTCTCCGCCGTGGCTGGGGGTGCCCCATCGTGGTGTCCCGATGGTGTCTCGTGGGATCTTTTGTGAGGTCGATAATGAGCTTTTTTGTGAGATCGATCTCGTTGGTATTAGTGACATCGAAAGTGCGATCGACAACGTGGTATATATCGAAAGCGATAGTGAAATCGATGGTTCGAAAACGATAGTGAGATCGATGGTGAGATCGATTGCGCAATCATTGCGAGCTCCAGAAGCAGCGGGCGCGGACGGGCAGGGGGAATAATTGATCAGGCTCGTGTTCTTCCAGGCCCTGTCAGGACCAGGCTTGGAGAAAAAAATCAGTGCGAGCCAACGTTGCTACAATCGTCGCCGGCATTGCCATTTGCCTTCTCATAATGGTTTTGCGAACCTCGTGACCGTAATGTTCCTTGTGGTGGAATATGTATATATATATTTATTGCCCGCTCGTGTTCCGATACTGTCCCGATATTTCGCCGCTGTTGTCCCGATCGTGCCGAACGCCACTCGCTGTGAGATCGTTCGTGGGATTTGTTGAGAGGTCGATCATGGGATCGAAAGTGAGGTATATGAGACTGAGAGTCCGACCGATAGTGATATTGATTGTGAGGTCGATGTTGACATCGATGATGAGATCGATAGCGGAACCCGTAGTGGGATGAATCGATTGGGGCCGACTGCGAGGTCGCATTTGTGTGGTGTGAGTTCCATCGCGGTTGTGCCGCCTCCGTTGTACAGTTATTCACTCACCATGAGCGTCGTCGCGCAACGTCGCCATCCCAGCGATGTCACAGTCATCGCAGCTGTTGTCAGTGGGCTTTTGTTCCCCAGACCTCCTTGTCACCCGAAGGGTGGTCGTATGGGTGCGTGTAATATTTGCGCGCCGGCCACGCAAAGGCGACGCGGACGCCCGGGAATCCCATAGTCTATGAGCTCCGTGGCAGGCGCTGTTTGTCCATGCCGCTCGGGAGAGCATTCTGCTAGGCGATGTTGCGCTATCTGGTCGTTCCAGACGTACGCCTCCATAGGGGAGGCACAACCTACAGTTAGGGAGCCAGATGCGAACCCCACCCTCCCCCTCAGAACTCGTAGGGGGTAGGGGTAGGGTTCGCATGTGGCCCCCCAACAGTGCCAGTGCGGCCTTGTGCGTCCCCGCAGGGACCAGATCTACGCCGGCATCAAGGAGCTCCGGCCCGGCAGGGGCGGGGACGCCCCGGCGGGCCCCCCCAAGAAGAGACGCAGGGCGGCGGCCACGGCCGAGCCCCCGGGCGCCGCGGAGGGCGCGGGCGCCGCGGCCTCCGGCGCGCCGCCCCCCGCGGGCCCGCCGCGCGGCGAGGCCGCGCGGCGCGTCCCGTGGCCCGACGGGCGCGGCCCCGGTGGGCCAGCCAGCGAGGCCGCGGAGACGGAGGACGCGCCCGCGGGCCACGCGGCCTGGGGCAAGGTGCTCTACGAGCCGTCGCGGGCGACGGTCCGTGCGGCGGCGGACGATGGCGGGCCTCGTCCCGCTCGGGTTTTTGGGATCGGGCCCGGCCTGCCGCAGTCGTGGTGCCGCAGTCCGGTCTGGGCAGGTCCGTTTCGGCAGATCTCGGCGGTGTACCATTTCTCAGACTCCACTCGGATTGAGTCGGGCTCAGTGCGAGCTAGTGGAGTTGCACTGCTTGCTCAAATTGAGGCAAAGCTAGCTAGGCCTACTCAAATTGTACAAGAGTTACCCTGGTCTAGTGACCTCCAGCCAGCGCTAATATGGTCGGGTCTGAACGAGACAAATCTAGCCAGGGGTTTCGTTCAATTTATCAGATTGTACTTCGGTCTCGTCAATTATGTTCTGGTTGAATCAGACGTCGTCCAGGTCTCTACGACTTAGCTGGGTGTAAGGGCGCCACGGCCCCAGACTGGACGGGTTCGGGGTCCATTCACCCTCGTCCATTATCTCTGCTCGTTTCTTCCCTGATACCTCTCCCCCCATCTTGTATTATCCATCGCACATGATGATTTACAAAAGGAGGCCATGACTAAAAGAGTCCTTACTGACAAAGTCTTGCTGGAGGAGCTCGCAAGGAGGAGCCCATCAAAACATGAATGTGTAAAGAACTTTTGGTTTGGGAATCCTTGCTGAAATAGTCAACAATAGCGGAGCACTTGCCACAGGAATCTTAAGGGATCATTATTCTGGAGTCCTGGTGCGAAGAGCTCATTCTAAGGAATCGCTACTGCAGGAATATAAGCTACAAGGGGTCCTTGAAATATTAAAGGAGGCATTACTAACGAAAGCCGTCTCCAGGAATCCATATTAACAAGTGAATGAGGAGTCCTTGGTGGAGGAGTCCTCCAGGAGGCAGCTGCGCCGAAAGAATACCGAAGGAACTCTTGGCCAGAAGATCCTATTTTGAAGGGCTACTCACGACATGTTTCCTTAATGAACGCAACATTGTTGACGGAGTCCGTATTAGGGATTTCTTAGTCTTGGGCCCTAACTAAGGAGGCATGGCTCTTGTTCCTGGTGTAAGGACTATTTGCCATGGAGCCCGTACAAACGAACGCATGCATGTATACATAAGAATATGCACAATTAGACTTACGTCTGTATACGTACATTCATACAGACATATATATATATATGTATGTATATGCATATATACATGTATATATACACATATATATGTATGTATATATATATATGTATATAGATTCTCATGTATGGCATGTACGTGCGTATACATATATATATATATATATATATGGATAAGGCTATTGTCTGGCGTTCCAATATTTGTGCATAACAAAGAGGGGGCCCCGTGTAATCCATTGGAGCGGAATTTCGGTTGCAACGCACGCTCCTCAGCAAGGATCACTGTTTTCATGGATACTAAAGGGCTCCGCAGTGAGGGTTCATTCATTCTGGGGATCCTTTGTTTTAGAACGTGGATTCTTCCAGGTAAGGGTGTATTAATTCGGGTTCCTGCGTAAGGGTTTCGTGCATGAGGGATCCGCAGTCTTGGTCCATTCGTGAGAATTTGTGAATCATGGTTCCTTGATTTAGTAAGTACTCAGTGGTAAGGATTCCCGTAACAAGGGGTCTTGCGGTAAGCGTTCCTTTAATGGGCAGTTCTTCAATAAAGTTCGCATGGCCAAGGACTCCTTCAGCATTCCTTCAGCGATGGCTCCTGCTCCCAAGCTTCCACGAATTAGTCCTAAAGTGCAATTCCTTGGGAGGGGGTCCTTTAGTAAGGACCCGTTTTTGGCAAGGATTCCGTTCGCACTGCACGCACCCAGTGTCGCACGGATTCGTTCTGCCGGGGTACTTCAGATGAGGATTGTTTGGTGGCCTCCTGCCCATTCCGCCACCGCGCCTTCGTTTTTGGTCAGAAGCTTTTCGGGAGCCCTCTGGCGGCGGTTTTGGGGTGTCTTCGGGGCCTTTCAGGGGCCTCTTGGGTCTGATTCGTGCCTCTTGGGGGCCTCTTGGGGCTTCTGGGCGGATTCTCGGGGGCCTGGTGGCGGTCTCACAGGTCGCCTTGGGGCGCAGGGCTCGAAATGTCGATCCGTGTTCCCCATGGGGCCCCTCTTGGGGCCCTCTTGGGCTCCTCTTGGTGCTTTCTTGGGCCGTCTGGGGCCTTTCTTTTGGGGCATTTTAGGACATGCTGGGGCGATCTTGGGGGTCCTTGGGTTGTCTTGGAGTGTCGGCCGCCAGAAAAAGAGAGCTGCAAAACTATTAACCGCGTACAAATCGTGAACCAATGTAGGCCATCTTGGGCGACTTCGAGGGATCTTGCGGGTGAGTCGGGGCCCTCTTGGACCGTCTTTGGGGCCCAGGCGATATTCATTTAATCAGGACTAAGGACGGAAAACAAACATTCCAGGAATTTGGGGACGCTCCAACCCGTGTCTCGTGGCACTGTGGTTGATTTAGTCCGGGATTTGTGAGTTAGGGCCCCTTAAAATCACGCGAATTATGTTTGCAGTAAAATGCCCGACCGCGTGCTTTCATGCCAGACGGGCGCTGACGCGCGCGCGTGTGCTCAGGATGGGGCTCGGGCTCGGGCTGGGTCTTCAGCTCGCGGTCGGGGTCGGGGTCGGGCTCGCGCTCGGGTTCGGACGCGCGCACGCGCAAGCACTGCCCCCGTTTGAGGGCGAGGCGTGACTACAATGCTGGGACCCCCCCCCCCGGGGGGGCGCCCCCCCCGACCCTACGAGCCGAGCCCTAAGCGGGGTATGGCTTCAGCGCCCAACTCTTATTTGGGAACGCCATTCAAACTGATTTGCGCCGTCAATGATGGTGGGCTCAAGCCTTTCGTGTGTGCAAGGGACAGTGGTTCCAGCAGCCCACGGCGTGGGCTCCAGCATTCAATTTCCGTTCGGGAGATTGGCTCCAGCTGATTATGCCGTCAAGGAGCGTGGCCTCCAGCACGTAGTTGTTACCAGGGGCAGTGATTCCAGCAGCCCACGGCGTGGGCTCCAGCACCGAGTTTTGAACAGGGAAAGTCGCTCCAGCAGATCATGCCGACAATGAGGACGGGTTGTCGCCTGACAAGGCAGCTAGGACGATCTGCGCCCCAACCACGAACCCTCCTACAGTCCGTCAGAAATTCGCCAGCTGCATTTTCACCGAACTGGCGATACATGTGAATACTGTTGGTCGTGAAATGCTCGGCAACGTGTTATCATGCCAGAAGAGCGCGCGCACGCACGCGCACGCGTGCGCGCTCAGGATGGGGTTCGGGCCGGGAGTCGGTCTCCAGTTCGCGATTGGGGTCGGGGTCGGGCTCGCGTTCGGGTTCGGACGAGCGCGCGCGCACGCACGGCCCCCGGTTGAGAGCGAGGCGTGACTTCAATGCTCGGATATCTTATATGTGGACCCCCCCACCGATCTTGTCAATTCCCAACCATCCTGTGGTGTTGGGTCCTCGCTTTGAAGAGACAGCGCCCCGCGTCTCTCCTCCTCCTCCTCTCCTCCTCCCCCTCCTCCCTTCTCCCCCTCCTTGCCTCTGCACTCCGCATGTCTCTCTCTCTCTCTCTCTCCCTCTCTCTCTCTCTCTCTCTTTCTCTCTGTCGATCTCTGTCGGCACACCCCTCACACGTTTCGTGGGAGCTCCAACTACGTTTCCAGTGGCGCAGCTCGCATGGCGCCACCGCCCCATTTTGGCACACCCCTCTCACGTTTCGTGGTCCCATAGGGAGCTCCACCTACGGTCCCAGTGGCGCACTTTGCATGGCGACCTCGCCCCATTTCGGCACACCCCTCACACGTTTCGTGGCCCCAGAGGGAGCTCCACCTAAGGTCCCAGTGGCGCAGCTCGCATGGCGGCCTCGCCCCATTTTGGTACACCCCTTACACGCTTCGTGGTCTCATAGGGAGCTCCACCTAAGGTCCCAGTGGCGGAACTCGCATGGCGGCCTCACCCCATTTTGGCACACCCCTCACACGCTTCGTGGCCCCATAGGGAGCTCCACTTCAGCTCCCACTGGCGGAACTCGCATGGCGGCCTCACCCCATTTTGACACACCCCTCGCACGTTTCGTGGCCCCATATGGAGCCCCACCTACGGTCCCAGTGGCGCAACTCGCATGGCGGCCTTGCCCCATTTTGGCACACACACCCCTCACATGTTTCGTGGCCCCATAGGGATATGGTCCCAGTGGCGCAGCTCGCATGGCGGCCCCGCCCCATTTTGGCACACCCCTCACACGCTTCGTGGCCCCATAGGGAGCTCCACCCATGGTCCCAGTGGCGCAGCTGGCACGGCGGCCCCGCCAGGGAGCTGGGCCTCACCGAATGTATCCGCGAGGCTTGACCTGAGGAGCGGCCCGCCCGAGCCTCGCCGTCTCTCGACGGTCTGACTGTTTGGCCTCGCGCCGCGGGCGACTCGCGCGCGTCGTTGGGACCCTCTCGGGGCGACCAGCGCGCGTCGCGGGAATTCCGCGCTGCGCTCTGCCCAGAGCCTCGCTCGCCCCCGTCGTCGCTCTGCCCAGCGGCCACAGCCTTGCCCGCGATCAGCCAGTTCTCTCTGCTCCGCGCAGCGGACGACCCGCGCGTGTCGCCGGGACCCCTTCAGGGCGACCAGCGTGCGTCACGGGGACTCCGCGCGGCGCCGCGTCCGCAGCCATGGACATCGGCGTGCACGGGCAATGAGGCAGAAACAGAAAGGGAAGGAAGCGGGCGCGATCCTCGTGAGGAGCGTGTCGACATGGGCGTCGACATTCATGCACGTAGACTGATTCGCACGTAGACTCATTCACAATCAGACTCACTCGCGCTCAGGCTCACCCGTTGTCAGTCTCTCGCACTCCTGACCGACCGTCTATGTTCTTATTGTGGGCCCCGCCGCGCATTTCGGCGCGCCCCCTCGCGCGGTCCGTGGCCCCATAGGGAGCGCGAGCGAAGATGATATTCACAATTGCGGTATTCACAATTGCATATGGTTGGGTCCTTCGCCAGGCTAATTTTTCAAGCCCTAAGCGAGGTGCGGCTCCTGCGCCTCATTGTTGGTAGGGAAGGTCGTTCCAGCAGATTCTGCTGTCAAGGAGGGTGGGTTACAGCACCCCGTGTTTACGAGAGGGGCAGTGGTTCCAGCAGCCCACGGCGTGGGCTACAGCTCCCAATCTTAATTAGAAGTGGGTTCAGCAGATGATGCCGTCAACAAGGGTGGGCCCCAACACCATATTTTTACGAGGGACAGTGGCTCCAGCATCCCATATCGTGGGCTCCATGCAGCGCCGAGTTCTGACAGGGCAAAGTCGTTCCAGCACATTCTGCCGACAAGCAGTGCGGGCTGTCGTTTGACAGGGCAGCTCGGGCGATCCGCGCGCCGCAGCAACGAAACCGCATACAGTCCGTCAGAAAATGCCCCAACAAAATATGCACCGAAGTGTAGTAATACTTCCCTTAGACAGAGCGGGTTGTTCCTTAAGGATTCCATCGGCAAGGGTTCTTCAGTGAGGACTCGAAGCCCATCCAGTCCGCGTCTGATGTAGCCACCACTCAACCATACTCAGCGAGGTTCAGCTAGGGCCAATCATCCAGCCATATCCACTCAGATCTCACAACATCTCGTTAAATATGTTCGCGCAGTTGCCAGGGAATTTGCGATCACCCAGCTGTAGAAACCTGCGAACAGCGAGGGGAGACCAGTGCCACCACCGAACAGGGCCGACCAGGACCAAAGAGGAACAGTCGTCATTTAACGGGGTTCGCCAGGATCGAGTCCGATTGTCCGACGTGAGAGGCCCCCCACCGTCTGTCACCGAAGGTCCGCCTGTATCTGAAGTCCCTGGGGCTGCCGGGCGGCGTGGAACGCTACACCACCACGGCCAAGGCCTGCGGGGGCAGCGCAGAGGAGGCGCTCCGCGTCGCGCGCCTCTGCTGGGTGCGGTTTTCGGAGGGCGCCACCAGGGAGGAGGTGAACGCCTACAGGCAGCGCCTGTACGACGCGATCGCTTCGCGCGGGGCGGGCGCGCCCGCGGGCGAGCCGCCCGCCCGGAGGCCTGCGCCCAGGAAGGCTGGCCACAGGGCGGCCGCGGGGCGGGCCGGGTCGCCCCAGGGCAAGGCGGGCGCCGCCAGCAGCAGCAGCAGCAGCACCAGCAGCGACGACGCCGGGGAGCTCAGCGGGTGAAGAGCTCACGCAGCACGAGCTCCTCCGCCACCGGGGGCACCTGCCCCACAGGGGCCGCTGGGAGGCCGATGCCCCTCTGGTGGCGCAAGTGGGGGCATGGGCTTCCCAGCTGCCCCGGGACGGGCGCCCTCGATCGCGGCACAGCTTCTCTCATGCCGTTCTTCGCCCGCTGTGAGGAGCACACCTCCGGCGACGAGGCGTCCAGCTCCGCGGCCAGCGGCGCAGCGGCTCCGCTGGCCGGGCCGGGCGCCGCCGCCGCCCCGGCAGCGGGGGCGCGGGCGGCCAGGGCGGCGCCGCAGCGGGCGTGCGCGAAGATGCTGGTGCGCTCTGGTCTGCGGTGCGTCTGCCACTTCGCGCTGCTGCGGGATTGCCCGGGCCGGCCGCGGCCATGACGCGCTCGGCGCCCCCCCCCCCCACGAGCCTGGAAAGGTCCCCAGGCGCTGCCCACGAACCCAGGAAGCGCTCGCTGCCTGGGCAGCAGGCCCACCTGCACCCTGGCCCTGGCCACCCACGCCCCTGCCGCCCCCTCTCCCCCTCTCCCCGTCGCCCGCCCCTGCGCGCGCGCGCACCCAACTGCGGGGCCGGGTTGCTTGCACCCCACGGCCGTGCGCCCGCCCCCCTGCCTCTTGCCTGTTTGCTTGCCGAGTCGCTGTCCCCAGCTTTCTTCTTCCCTGTTCCTCCTTTCCTTCCTCTTCTTCGCCCTCCTCCTCCTCCTCCTCCTCCTCCTCCTCCTCCTCCTCCTCCTCCTCCTCCTCCTCCTCCTCCTCCTCCTTCATGTGCCCACAAAGGCTGCTTGATCGTGCGCGTGGTGTCTTGCGGCGCAAAGCCTCGGCGCTGCTCCGACCAGAGGGGCGCGACAGCTGCCGCCCGCTGCTTCCCGTACTGCTGCTACTGCTCCTCTTTCGTTATCAGCATGAGCATATTGGCATCGCTCAGACGTGTACATTTTTCCTTCGGCGAGGACCATCGAGAAGCATCCTTCATCATTTGGCGAACAAGCCACGCACGAAACCGAAAAAAACACAAGGAATGGACGTCTGAGCGATGGCCAGGCATCGTCGCTGTCGTATGTCGTATGTGCCATGTGCCACCCGCTGGGCTCATATGACTCCTCTTTTTCCCGCGCGTCGGCGCCAGGCGCAGCTGTCATGCGCATTTCCTCGCTCTTCTGGGGGCTGCGGGGCGAGTGGGCACAAGGAGCTGCTGCGTGCAGCGCGCAGCAGGAGCCGTCTGAGTGGGGACTCTCCGCCTGCGCGAAACCTCTGCTCGTCGAGCATGTGCAGGCTGGCTCGGGGCTCTAAGTCGGTATCGTTTAACCAAACCCCGTCCCCATCCCCATCCCCTTCGAGACCCCCACCAAATGACCCCCCCAGTTGGGGATACCTCCCTCGAAACCCGAAGGGAACGGCCTATATCCCCATCTTGGGGGGTAAATCGGCCAGTGGGGCCCAGGCCACGCCGCTGGGGATGGGGATCGGACAAACGATGCTCACTAAGTCTTGCGGAACACGACCGCATGTCATAGATTGTCTGCCTTTCCGGTGCTTCTTTGTTGCAAGCACGGGAAATCGCAGAACACGCGGGGAGCGGAGCCTTCCTTTCGAGGGGGCAAACCTCTGCTGCGCTCTCTTGGCGCCCCATGAAGTAAGCACTGCTATGCGCTCGTGGCCGGTGTGCTCTTTTTGACAGCAGGGGGGGCCGAGTGGAGCACGTGGGCCCCGCCTGGCGACTTGCGGGGGGCCTCTCAGGGAGGGCCGCCCCCAGGACATTCCTTGCGTGCGCGTGCAGCACGGCACTTGCGTTTGTGCTTCCGTTTGCCATCTCTCCGCGTGGCGGGCGGCTTTCAAATGTAGCCGAGCTCTGCGGCCGCTGGCAAACCCTACCCCTACGGGTCCAGTCGACGCTGGGGTATCGGATACCCCCGCTGCGTTTCGTTTGGCTGCGGATATCCTTCAGATTCTGCACCGCTGCCGGGTTTTCAGAGATTCGACCTGTAGGGGTAGGGTTCACATGTGGTTGCCTACAAGCTTGCGGCGATGTTTGGTAGCGCGCGAACTTTGCATTGGAGTTTGATCTGGATCATTGGGGCGCGCCTGGGCCGCGCGAAGGGCGGCTCTCATACGTGACCAAGTCGTTGGGGTGTTTCTGCCCTTGGCATCGCTCGGACGTGTGCATTTTTCCTTTGGCGTGGACCATCGAGGAGCATCCTTGCTCATTTGGCGAAAAAAACTACGCACGAAATTGAAAAAAACACAGGGAATGGACGTCCGAGCGATGGCCAGTGCCCCCTTTGCAAGAAGCCGCGCCCGCGGCAGGCCTCTCGTCGCAGCTCGGAGCTGTGGGTACCGGAGCAGGCTTGCACGCCCGTCCGCGGCGTCGGGCTCGTGAGCCTCCGCTCGCACGGTGACTCCTCTTGCTGTCCAGAGCAGCGTGCACTCGGCATCGCTCGGACGTGTGCATTTTTCCTTCGGCGAGGGCCATCGAGGAGCATCCTTGCTCATTTGGCGAAAAAACCACGCACGAAACCGACAAAATACACGGGGAATGGACGTCCGAGCGATGGCCAGTGCAAGACATGGGCGTGCGCTTGCACGTTGGACAGCGTCGTCTGTTGCGGCACAGTGCCGAACGCGCTCTGCGCGGGGGAAGCGAAGGGGCAGTGCCGGAGGCGCTTTGTCCTGGCATCGCTCGGACGTGTGCTTTTTTTCCTTCGGCGAGGGCCATCGAGGAGCATCCTTGATCATTTGGCAAAGAAACCACGCACGAAACCGAACAAAAAGCACGGGGAATGGACGTCCGAGCGATGGCCAGTGCAAGACATGGGCGTGCGCTTGCACGTTGGACAGCGTCGTCTGTTGCGGCACAGGGCCGAACGCGCTGCGCTCTGCGCGGGGTACGCGAAGGGGCAGTGCCGGAGGCGCTTTGTGGGGGTGCAGGGGGGGCGGTGGGGGGGGTGGGGCGGGAGGGCCTGACGTTGTAGGGGGGCGAGCGGAGATGGAGAGGCGTAGCGCGGGTTATGGCCCAGCCAGAAATTATCCCAGTGCGACCCTACCTAGGAGTTCGAGCCCCTAGGAAAGCAGCATTAGTAGTAACAGCAAAGCTAAGCTAAAGCTAAGCTAAAGCTAAACTAAAGCTAAAGCTAAGCTAAAGCTAAACTGTAGCTAAGCTAAAGCTAAGCTACAGCTAAGTTAAAGTTGAGTTACATCTAAGCTAAAGCTAAGCTAACGCTATGGTATAGCTAAACTAAAGCTAAGCTAAAGCTAAGGTAATGCTAAGCTAAATCTAAGCTAAATCTAAGCTAAAGTTAAGCTAAAGCTAAGCTAAAGCTAAGCTAAAGCTAAGCTAAAGCTAAGCTAAAGCTAAGCTACAGCTAAGCTACAGCTAAGCTACAGCTAAGCTAAAGCTAAGCTGAAGCTAAGACTAAAGGTAAAGCTAAAGCTAAAGCTCCCAGGGGACTGGGGGAACCGCGGGGCGGATCCTGGGGGAATCGCCCAGGGCGGGGAGCACTGCCCGGCCCTTTAAGCATACAGGGTAAGAACCTTTCTAGGCAGAGCCTAGATAGGGAAAAAACACGTTCTGTGCGGTAGAGAGTCAGGAAAGGAGGTACACGAGCGGAGTTGACGCGTTGCGTAATGTTGGCGGGACACACCGCCCTCTGGTCTTTTCCTTGCGGGCCGCATTAAAAAATGTTGGCGGGTTGGCGGGCAAGAGTGAAGAGCGCAAGAAGACACAGTCTGGCTGACGACAAACATATGTAGTCGGTTAGAAAATTTGCGCAACCCGACACCAGCAGGTCTGTTTCGGGTATCGTTTGGCAAAAATTAAATGGATACGACACTACGTCGCGCAGATTGCAGAACCCTCCGCACGCACACGATAGATGACATAGGCTCAACAGTTCTGCCGGGTGCCAAACTCACAGCATGACATGCGTTCATACGCTTACGCACGTGTGTCATGCAGAGCGGCACTCATGTAATTGAACGCCTAGCCACCTGTCCGTTCCCGTCCGCTGCTGTGTCTTCCCGCTGCTGCAGATCCGGCTCTTCCCACATCTTCGTTCCGTGGGGGGACGATCGGAAGGAGGAAGGAATGCCTTTCCTCCACGTTGCTGTTGCTCGTCCTCATCCTCACCCCTCCCATGTCATGGCGAGGAGGTAGTGATTCTTCCTCCTCCTCCTGCCTATTATCATCCCGCTCCTCCTTCTCGTTCTGAAGAGGAGGAGAAGAAGAGGAAGAAGAAGAATGAGCAGGAGGAGGCAGGAGAGGTGTATCCGCCTCCTCTTTTCTTACTCCTCCAGTTACTCGAATTCTGACTTCTCCCCCTCCTGAGCTTCACAGTTCATGAACATGCGTTGCACTGGGTCTCGGCCGCCGATCAGAGCAGTTTTTCCTTTATGCATTTGTGCGCAACCGAGGTGTTCTTCCAGATACTTTTCGTCGGCAGCGGTCTGCTATTCCACCACCGCTGGACGTACACATTGCTGGACCTGTCGGTCGAGGTCCTCGCTTTTTTTAATTGTATTGTCGTTCCTGTCAACTGGGCCTGCTGCAGGAAATCTCGCGTTATCTTGAGGCCTCGCATCTTGACGATGGCGGAGGCCGGCCGAAGGGGCACGGAACAAGGACAGGAAGACATGCTCAGCAAGATGTCGGCGCCATTCTGGTCAGACGCGGGCAGGCTCGAGCTGCATGTCTGTCGCTGTGATGCGCGTGCGTTTGCACCAGCAGCCACTTCGAAACGTGATTCGACAGGAATTGTGGGCCAGCGCGCCGCGGGATAAAATCTCATCCAGTCCTGGTCATCCCTGACAAGAGTCGATGCAAAGTTGTGGTGGGGGTGCGTGCCATGCACTTCGCATTGTTTGTTGCCAGGGATGTTGGCGGCCTTCCGGGCGGGGGGTGAAGGGTGCTCTGCTGATATGCGGCAGAGAGAGAAAAGGGGGGTAGAGTGAAGCGCAAACACCTGAATCATATGACCCTTGTGCGAGACTGCCATTGCCACACACACCATATCAATCCGGCCACGTGGTTGGCCTGGGCGGTATCTGGGTACACCTGTGGCTGCATGTCCCTCGAGCGTTGCGCCCTCGTATGGCCGGGCACGCGAGGGCTGGGTACTGATGATGCCGCACATGCATCCAGCGCGCGCTTCCCGCGCGACTGCAGCCGTGCGTGCTCGAGCAGCTGGGGGCTGGCTCTTGGCTGCGGGCGCTCCCCCGGGCAGCACGGAGGCCACGATGCGGCCGTGGCGCGGCGTCGCCACCGAGGCCGCCGCCTCCGTGGGGGTCAGAGGGCGCCAACTTAATTACGGTCGGACCGAGGTCCTCCTCCTCCTCCTATTCCTCCTCCTCCTCCTCCTCCTCCTCCTCCTCCTCCTCCTCCTCCTCCTCCTCCGTCCGCCTCTACGGTCGGACCGAGGTATAATATGGAGGTCGGTTCGGGGAGGGGACGCTAGTGTTCTTCGTGTCCGCTGGATGCTCTTGTGCATCCGGGGGGAGGGTTGCCCTCGAGTGTTCTTCAGTTTGGCCCGCGGAGGGCCTCGCGTTCTTGTAGGATGGTCCGGCCGCATACACCTGCGCCGATCTTGGCCCAGGGCGAGACTGCTCCCAGGATCGGTCTATGCGCCCTCCCTGCCCAAGCCAGGAGGGCGCGCGCGCCTGATCCTGAGCGCAGCGTGTGCCTGGCCAGGACCGGTGCAGGTGCACAGTTGGTGCCCTCCCAGGGCGACCCCGAGTTCGCAGCGAGCTCGCGGCAGGTCGCTGGCGGGAACCATATTATCCACCTCCTCCTCCTCCTCCGCCTCCTCCGCCTCCTCCGCCTCCTCCGCCTCCTCCGCCTCCTCCTCCGCCTCCTCCACCTCCTCTTCCTCCTCCTCCTCCTCCTTCCTCCTCCTCCTTCTCCTCCTCCTCCTCCTCCTCCTCCTCCTCCTCCTCCTCCTCCTCCTCCTCCTCCTCCTCCTCCTCCTCCTCCTCCTCCTCCTCCCCCTCCACCTCGCGGTGCAGAGTGCTCTGAGCGCGACCCCGGTGGACACGCGGGGCGGCTCTGCGCGGCTGCCCTCGCGGGGGGCGCATATCCGTGGGATCCCGCGTCCGTGGGCGCGCACCTCGGTGCCTAGAGCCTGGACCGCGGCGGAGGAGGAGGAGGAGGAGGAGGAGGAGGAGGAGGAGGAGGAGGAGGAGGAGGAGGAGGGGGGGGGAGGAGGAGGAGGAGGAGGAGGAGGAGGAGGAGGAGGAGGAGGAGGAGGAGGAGGAGGAGAGAGGAGAGAGGAGGAGGGAGGGAGGAGGGGGGGAAGCAGAGACCACCGACACCGAAAACCCATCGGGGGACCCAAGCCTGCGCGGTGGCACGCTGGAGCGTCGTCCGGTAATGGGTGACGCCCGAGCGTGCCACCCTCCAAGGGATCGCGCCTCGGCGACTTGGGCCGGGCATGTCCTCCTTCCTACAGGCGGATCTCGGGGGACAAAAGAGAAATAGTCGAAAGAGGTTCAAAATAGTCAAACGTAACAGATGGATCGTTCCCAGACTATTTTGTTGACTATCTTTGCAAGTCCCTCCTGTAGTGGGACATGCCCGACTCGAGCCTAGGCCGCTTGGTCACCGTCGGGGGCACGAAGAGGATCGCGCGTCTCGCGTCGCGGCCTGGGCCAAGGTAGCTGGCCTCCTCCAGTGGGGCCGGCGCCGGGGGCACCGACACGGGATCGCGCGATCCGCGCGTCCGCGGTGTGCGGTGCCCGAAGTCTGGCGACGACGACGACGACAACGACGGCGACGATGACGACGGCGACGACAGCGACGTCGGCGACGACGACGACGACGACGACGACGACGACGACGACGACGACGACGACGACGACGACGACGACGACGACGACGACGACGACGGCGGCGACGACGACGACGACGAGGGCATGGAGTGGACGACGCCAACCTTGTCTGGTGGGCGCGTTGGTTCAGGAACGTGCCCTTGTGGCCTCAGACCCTCGAGGATTGCTTATCTGATGAGGGCGGCGGTGATATTCTAAGCCTCCCAGATGGAGTCGGAGCAGATGAGGTCGGAGGATCGCGCCGCATCGCCGATGTTTCGCCGATGCGGCTCGATGTGGAGCCCGATTTGCTTCACGTCGGCGCCGCCGATGCATCGCCAGTGCATCGCCGATGCATCGCCAGTGCATCGCCGATGCATCGCCGATGCATCGTCGATGTATCGGCGATGCGGCGCGATATTCCGACTTCATCAACTCCGAGCCCGTCTAGGAGGCCTCTAGATACTCTACATATCCATGGTTGAGCCTCAAGTCATTTTGCACCCGCTTCCAGGCCCTGGACTCCTCACCTGAGGGTTCCTTCCTCAAGGCCCTCACGGTACCAGACCAGCTCGATGCGCGCTGCCGCGCGTGACGGCGGGCGCGGGGTCGTGCACTGACTTGGTCTGACGCACGGCTGGCATCCCCTAAGATCTCACATTCCGAAAAAGTTGCAACGGTGCGGAAAATCACGACCGGAGCCCGAGACTCCTGTCGCTCTTCTGGCATGTGATGGGCCGGATCAGTCTTTGAGGGTCCAGGGGCCCGAAGCCGGGCGGAAACGCCCGGCGTGAAACGATTGCAGCGCCTGGATCTCAGGGCAGGGGTCTCAGGACCCGTAAAATCAAAAGGTACGGATGTCACAATTTTTCGGACCTCTCCCAGGGTGCGTTCTGACCAGAAGTTGAAGGCCAATCCAGCCGTGGCGACGAGGGCTTCCCAGGAGGCCCAGAAAGGCGAAAGCACGGCAAGGGCAGCGGCATCGGCACCCCTTCTCCTCCTCTGAGACCCGGGGAAAAGTCTGAGGCCCCGTTTTTGCTTCTGTCGTCCACATGAGGGATTTCGGAACCCCCCTTTTATCTCCTAAAGTTAATGAACTTGTCGTCTCTTGGTTCGGTGGAAGCCAGCGGAAGGCTGACGGAAGGATGCGGAAGTAAAATAACGTATTTGGGGGGCAGAAGGATTCAGCGAGGGGGTGACGGGGACGGGGGGGTGGGCGGCAGAGGAGAGGGGCGCGGAAAGAAATGACAAGAAAATTAGTCACAGAGTTTTCGAAACACGTCACGTGGCACGTGGACGTGGATTCTCTCGCCGCTCGTGGGCAGGGCGCGCTGGGCGCCGCTGGTCCCAGCTACCTGCCGCCCACCGTGGCGGCGCTGCAGCCCGCGCCGGCCGCGCCGCCGCGGACGCCGTCGGCGTCCGCGGGGGGTGGCTCCGCGCCGCGGGGCGGCGGAGGTGCGCCGCCGCCGCCGTGGCCGCCGCCGCCGCCGTGGCCGCCGCCGCCGCCGCCGACGACGACGACGACGAGGACGACGACGACGACGACGCCGCCGCCGACGACGACGACGACGAGAACGAGGACGACGACGACGACGACGACGCTGCCGCCGACGACGACGACGACGACGACGAGGACGACGATATTGTGATGTTCTTACTATCATTATTCGCATGTTATGTATTCGTCTTCGTTTTTGTAGTCTGCTCATTATCAGTGTTATTATTCGTAGCAACATGATTGTTAGTGTAGTAGTAGTAGTAGTAGTAGTAGTAGTAGTAGTAGTAGCAGTAGTAGTAGTAGTAGTAGTAGTAGTAGTAGTAGTAGTAGTAGTAGTAGTAGTAGTAGTAGTAGTAGTAGTAGTAGTAGTAGTAGTAGTAGTAGTAGTAGTAGTAGTAGTAGTAGTAGTAGTAGTAGTAGTAGTAGTAGTAGTAGTAGTAGTAGTAGTAGTAGTAGTAGTAGTTGTTGTAATAGTAGTTGTTGTTGTTGTTGGTGGTGGTGTTGGTGTTGTTGTTGTAGCTGTAGTAATTGTAGTAGTTGTAGTAGTAGTACTCGTAACATTATGATCGCGGTCATGATTTATGCATGTATTGATGTATCCGTGTATTCAGTATTCGTATTAGTTAAACTGCTATGCTTTTTGTTTTAGTTGCCGGTTGGTACCAGTAATATTACCATTCGTAGCAGCATCGGTGGTATCATAATTCGCAGCAGTGTTAGTCGTTTTGTATTATTCGTTCGAGTATGCTTATGTTAAGTATGCTAGTTCGTATTGTTATGAAGATTCGTGCCACTATTTTGACTTAGAAACATAAGTATTCATATTGGTGTTACTCGAAAGTTGTCTGATTACTCTTCTTCTACGGAGGTGCTTTTCTTTCCATGGATGCCGTCTCGAGCTACAAGCGCTCCTGGAGCATTCAGGAGTCGCTGGACCAGCACGCGACCCTCTGCAGACAGAAGGAGGTCCTGGAGAAGTTGGCCTCCGACCGCTTGAACATGCGGCGCACGCAGCTGGAGTTCGCCAGGCTTGAGGTGGAGGACTCGCTCCCGCACCCGCTTCTCGTCCCACGGTAGGCTCGCGCCACGCTGACGCGGCAGCGGCGGCGGCGTTCAAAGTTGAACGCCGCCAGTGGCCTGGGGAGGAGGGAGGAGGAGGAGGAGGAGGGAGGAGGAGGAGGAGGAGGAGGGGCAGCAGGAGCAGGAGCAGGAGCAGGAGCAGGAGCAGGAGCAGGAGTAGGAGCAGGATGTTCATAAAGAGGAGGAGGAGGAGGAGGAGGAGGAGGAGCAGGAGGAGTCGAAAGATGTGCGCGTTTTTGGAGAGCCGCGACCGTTCCACGTTGAACGAACCACGCGCCGTCAGCCTCAAACGCGGACGTCATCCACATCCATATGCTCCTCCTCCTCTTCCTTCTCCTTCTCCTTCTCCTCCTCTTCCTCCTCCTGCAGCCGCCCCAATCTTTCCAGAACCTCGAACCTCGATCTACGCGGTCTTGGGCACGAGTGTGGCGATCTCGTCTTCGTCTTCTGCCGCTTTCTCAAGCTGCTGGGCGAAGGATGCACGATAAGTGCGTTAACCAAAAAGCAAGCCCACGGAGCTGGCAGGTGCAGGCCAACCCCACGACTTTAGGTGATGGTGGAAACGATGGGGGGCGTTTGTCTCCGTTGTCAGGATCGTTCCGTGTCGGGGTCCGTTTTGCTTTCGTTTTTGGAGTTATCGGTTGCAGCGTTTTCGGTCAGTTTTTTTGATTTGCCATTGTTTCGTTTCTGTTTTGGGTTGCCGTTTGTTGTTTCCCAGTGGCTGGCCGAAAACCGGCAAGTCGAACATGACACATTACCTTGGCGAAGGATCCAACCATATGCAGTTGCGAGTGCCGTCGTTGTGGGCGTCGCCTTCGGTGCGCGTGGAGGGTGTGCCGAAATGTGGCGGGGCCGCCAAGCGGGCGCTGCCACTGGGGCGTTCGAGCTTCGCAGGGCAAATGGCATGAAAGAAGGGGGCTAGCAAGAGGTCTGCGGCGTGGATGAGAGGGGGAGGAAATCTGACGCGGGCGAGCGGGGAGTCTCCTTGGTTCTGCCAGAGCCCCGTGCGCCTCCGTTTCGTGCCCAGTGTCCTCCCAATTTTGTCTCCCCTCTCCCTGTGTCCGTCGTGCGTTGCGCCCCTGTCCGCCTGTCCCCCTGTCCGCCTGTCCATATCCTTCCCTCGTCTTTCCCTTTTTGTTGTCCTCGCGCCCCGACGGCCACGGCCCCGGGCAGAGTGCAGCGCGGAGTTCCCGCGGCGCGCGCCGGTCGCCCCGAAGGAGCCCCGGCGACGCGCGCGCGCCGCCAGCGGCACGGAGCAGGAACACGGGGATGGCTGACAGCGGGCGAGGCACTGGGCAGAGCGCGCGGGAGTCGGGCAGCTCCTGGAGGCAGCGCAGGCGGAGCCCCCGCGGCGCGCGCCGGGCGCCCCGAGATGGTGCCAGCGACGCGCTCGGGTCGTCCGCGACGCACGGCCAAGCAGTCCGGCAGAGGACAGAAGGCGAGGCGCGGGCGGGCCGCTCCTCGGGTCGGGCCTCGCGGGGGAGACATTGTGAAGCCCAGCTCTTGGGCGATGGCCGTCGCGGCGCCGCATCGTGCGCGGCGCGGACTGCTCCAGCTGCTTCCGCAAGCCTTCCGGCGGCCCTGCCGCGCGACGCCCGCGTGAGCAGGAGGTCCACGCGGTGCGTGGCGCGCGAGAGCAGCGCGTAGAGCTCCAGCCGCCAGTCGCGTCGTCGTCCTACCTCTAACCGTTCCCGACTGCGTGGCGGCCGCAGCCCAGAATCGCGCCGCGGCGACGTCGGCCGAGGGAGCGGCGCGCCGAACAGCCGACCGCCCAGGGCGAGAGCCCACAGAACCGGAAATGTCTGGCAGCGGACCGCTCGCGCCGAGGAGGTCTGGCCGCACGTTGCCTGGGAGCGCTATTATTTCGCCCGGCCGCCTTCTCGAATGGTGCGCCCGTGGCGCGCCGCCGCAGTGGTGGCCCTGCCGCGCGAGAGCGGGGAACCGTTGTGGGCGACTTTGGAGGCGCGGAAGGTGAACGGCTCCGACGCGCGAGGCACGAAGAACGCCAGCGGGCCCGCGAGGCCCCCCGCGAGGCCGTCGTCGCGGCGCCCGAGGTCAGCCGCGTAGGGCTCGCCCGTTCATCTCCCCATGCGCGCCCAGAACACCGGCGGCAAGTGTCTCAGATAGATATATTGCTCCCCGTTTCCTTCCCGGTTGTTTTCGACGTCGCCCCGTCCTCGAGGGCCCGCGACGATGTCCACGATCGGCCCCCGCATCCTTGACGGGGCCGCTCTTGGGGCCCGAGCGCTTCCAGGAATGGGGTCCGCGTGTCCGCGCGCGCTGGGGGCAGTCCGCGCATGCCGCAAGTTTTTTTCGGGCTCGCGCAATTCATCATCTTGGCGGCGTCCTTGACATCCATCGATGGGCCAGACCTGTCGGCTGCACGCGCGAGGGAGAGCAGCTCTTTCAGGACGCCCGCGCCCCGCTTGGCACGCGCGTTCATCCACCGCGCCGCGGCGCCCCAGCATGGCGCGGCCACGTGGCCATTCTGGAACCTGTCCTCCCGGGGCCGACGATCGCTGAGGTTCAGTGGCACAGCGCCCCGCGCGGCCTGGGTGGACAGGGGCCCGCTTTCCCGGCTCGCGCAAGAAAACCGCGAGGCCGCGAGGCCCCGGAGCCGCGGGCCCTCGAAGCGGTCGGGCGCCTGGAGCGCGAAGCACCGCGGCGCGTTGCAGAAGAGCTCCATCGCGGCCTGGTTCCCGAGCGAGATCGATGACCGCCGCCGCCAGTACTCGAGCCGAGGGACACATTGCCACCCGTCGGCTCCGGCTGCAGGACGTCTCCGAGATGGGCATTCGGCCGAGGACGCCACAGACCTGACTGCGCCCCCACCTCCTCCGCGCCCCTCGCGGCCTTGCCTCCGAGGGGGGGCTGGGTCGCCAGCGCGTTATACAAGCTCGGCGAGATAATTCTCACCTCCTCCAGGGCCAAGTACCTGGCCGCCTCCCGCGTATCCCGCGACACTTTCAGCTTTCCTCCGGCGGGCATGTCCTGGTTCCTGAGGGGCTGCGCTCGCGTGGCCCCCACCCAGTGGCGACTGGCGGCCTCGCGAGCGCCCGTGGAGATGTTCGCGGGCTGAGGCGACTTCGCGCAGACTATCAGCGCGGACTTCGCTTGGCCTGGTTTCGCAGGGAACGGCGCGCCCGCGGCCGGCAGCGCGATCTCCCGCGCCGCGGCGGTCTTCCCCCTGCCGCCCTGGCCGAGGAGCAGGGGCTGGAGCGCCCTCCGCTTCGCGCGCTCGACGACGCCGCCGCCCGCGAGCACTCGCTCCTCGCCCCGCGCCGCGTTGCAGACTCGCGAACGCCGCGGCGAGCAGAGCCCGGTCGGGGCTCAGAGGGCGGCGCCCCTGCGCCCCCGCTCGGGTCGAGCGCGCCGCCCTCGAACTTTTGCGCGAGGCGGTTCGCGAAGTCGCTGGGCCGCTGCAGCTCGTCCGATGGCCCCCGCCGCGCCTGCGCCGCCTCGGCAGGCGCCGCGCCGTCGCTCGCTGCCTCGACGTTGCCCCGCGAAGGGGCGCCGTCCGCAGGCGCGCGCGCGTCCTTCGCGCCCCCCTTGGCGGGCCCCCATCGGGCCCTGCAGCGCGGCCCTCAGCGGGGCGAGGACGTCGCCCCGCAGGGCGCTGGCGGCGCGCCGCGGCGCGTGTGTCTTTCGGCTTGAGTAGCTCGCCGTTCTCCATCATCGCGGCGGCCTCCTCGAGCCCCCTGGCGAAGGCCAGCGCGGGTCGGCGACGTCGGGGCACGTCGGGGCGCGAGGTCCCCCCGAGCGTCTCAGGGTCGAAATGGCGTTCCAGGATCGCGTCGGCAACCATCGCGAACTCCGCGCCGCGTTCGGTCTGGAAGAGACGGCGGAGGCCCTGCGCGTCGCCCGCGAAGAGCGACGGCGCCCCGCTCGCGCCCGCGAGCCTCCCCGGCCTGAAGTCCACGAAGTGCTTCGCGCAGAACGCGTCGACGAAGGCATGCGGGGGCCAGCGGCCCACGCGAGCGGGCGCGGGCGCCGCGCCGCCCGCGCCCGCCGCGGGCAGCGGCGCCCTGCGCGCGCAGCCCCCTGAGGGGAGGGCTTGGCGCTGATGCCGTCTGCCTGCCGCCCCTCGCCCCCGCTGCGCGCCGGTCGCCCCCCCCCCCCCCCCCCCGTTCGGCGGGGAAAACCCGCCGTCAATCGGGGGCTGTGCTGGAGCGAAGACATCGGCGAGATTCCCCCCGCCCCCCGCCCCGCACGGCGAGCGGCTCGCCCTCGCCCTCCTCCCCCAGGAGCGCGGCGCGCGCGCCGCGGAGCTGCGGGGCAGGCGCTGAAGGGGCGCGTTGAGGTAGCAGGCCTGGCGCAAGTTCGAGCGGCTCGCCCTCGCCCTCCTCCCCCAGGAGCGCGGCGCGCGCGCCGCGGAGCTGCGGGGCAGGCGCTGGAGGGGCGCGTTGAGGTAGCAGGCCTGGCGCAAGTTCGAGGGGCTCGGGCGCGGGCGCCAGCCGCCGCGAGACCGATGCAAGACCGGCGGCCTCCAGCGATCCTCGTCGTGGACGTCGCTCTCCCCGCGCCTTTGCAGGTGCCGCGCCCGCAGCGCCTGCTGCTCGCGCGCCGCGCGACGGTCGTCCTGCCTGGTTGCCTGCGAGTGCGCCACTGGGGCTTCGATGAGCAGCTTCAGGGCCAGCGCGAGCCTGGCGGACACGTTCCACCTGCGCCATCTTTGCGCCAGGCCGTCACCAGGCCCATCTTTGGCACGCCGCGGCACGAGGCCGTGCTGCTGAAGCCAGACACCGATCCTGTCGGCCCCCGGCCGTCCAGGAAGCCGGCCCACGGCTGCGCGCCGATTCGGGGGCCCCCCAGCCGCGCGCGCCCGCGGCGCCCGGCGTCTGAGGGCGCGCGTTCCGGGGGGGGCCCGGCGCAGGGGGCGGGCGCGGTGGCGCCGCCCGCTCCCCCGCCATATTGCGCCGAACTTGTCCCTCCCGCTGGCGCTGCGACGTCTACGGGCCCTCTATGGGGACTTGCGCGGGCCGCTGCTTCAGGCGACGGAGGTCAGCTGCCTATCTCGGTGTCCCGCGGGGGCCCATTAGAGCATGATCGCTGTCTCGATGTCAGACGGACTTGGCAGCTCGAGCCCGCAGCTGGCGGTTTCTCCTCTCCTCAGCGATTGCCCTGCACTGGGCCCCGCTTCCCTTCGGGGACGTCGGCGCCCCGACTCGCGAACGTCGTCCCAGGCGGGGAGTTCGGGCAACGAGAGCCGGGGTTGTCCGTCGAGGGCCGCGCCTGGCGCGCGCCCGCGGGCCAACGGCGCCAGCTTGAGCCGCGGCGCGCGCTGGCGGGGCGGGGGCGAACAAACGAACCTGGAAGGCCGCAGCGGCGGGGTGCTGGACGGTGGCCCCAGCATGCCCCAGTGTTGGTTCCACTGCTGCGTCGAGGCAGCCACGGAGAGCAAGACGCCGCGGGTCCCGCATACATGATTACTGAAGCCCTGCGCCACCGATCGTCCCCGCCACTTCGGTGCCGTCATCATAGTCGTCGTCGTCTTCATGGTTGTCGTCGTCGTTGTCGTCGTCGTCGTCGTGGTCGTTTGTCGTCGTCGTCGTGGCGGTGGTGGTGGTGGCGGCGGTCGTCTTCTTCGTCGTCGTGGTGGTGGAGGACGACGAGGACGAGGAGGAGGATGAGGAAGAGGAGGAGGGAGGAGGAGGAGGAGGAGGAGGAGGAGGAGGAGGAGGAGGGGGAGGAGGGGGAGGAGGGAGGAGGAGGAGGAGGAGGAGGAGGAGGAGGAGGAGGAGGAGGAGGAGGGAGGACGACAGTAGGGACGGGGTCGGGATGCGGAGGCCGAACCCTCCAGGTGAGCGGCCGACATGTGTGCTGGGCGGGGGAGGTGCTCCCACAGGGCCCCCCCCCCCCTCTCTTCATGGGGCCACGAAACGTGTGAGGGGTGCGCCGAGACGGTGGGCGGAACTGCGTTTCAGACCTTGCCACTGGGGCCTTCGGTGGAGATCCCCATGGAGCCACGCAGCGTGTGAGGGACCGCGGTGCACAGGATTTGGCATCCAGACGTGCATTCTTTAGATCGCCGCTTGGCTCTCTCCCGTGCGGAGACGGATGAGGAGAGGACGCTGGCGGTTCAGAGGGTGGTGCTGGCATTCTATATGTACAACGCGGTGGAGAATGCTCCAGCTCGTGAGCTGGATGGTCTTACGCCCAATGCCTGAGCTGCTAGAGCGCAGCTCGTGCAACAATTGCCAGAAGCTGATGCGTAACTATTGGACTTCATTCCGAGCTATGTGCGAGGAGGGAGATGAGAAGGAGGAGGAGGAGGAGGAGGAGGAGGAGCTGGAGGAGGGAGGAGGAGGAGGAGGAGGGAGGGAGGAGGAGGGGGAGCTGGAAGGAGGAGGAGGAGGAGGAGGAAAAGGCATGAGGCATGAAACATGAGGTATGAGGCATGAGGCATGAGGCATGAGGCATGAGAGGAAGGAGGAGGAGGAGGAGGAGGAGGAGGAGGAGGAGGAGGGAGGAGAGGAGGAGGAGGAGGAGGAGGAGGAGGAGGAGGAGGAGAGGGAGGGGGAAAGAGGAGGGGTAGGGGGAGGGGGGGCGGAGGAAGTGAGGAGGAAGCGAGGAAAGGAAGGAGGAGAAGGCGCATGAGGAGGAAGAAGAAGACGAATAAGAAGAAGAATAATAATAATAAGAAGAAGAAGAACAACAAGTAGAGGAGGAGGAGGAGGAGGATTTCTGATCCATGTCTGCGTAATGTCAAAAAACGCGGAGGAGAAAGAGGAGGATGAGGAGGAAAATGAGGAGGAGGAGGAGGAGGAAGAGGAGGAGGAGGGACGCGGGGCGCTGCCCTTTCAAAACCAGGACCCCTCACCATAGGATGGTTGGGAAGCAAACGGCCCCAGCCCATTCTTAACATGGACGAAGCCCGTGGCTAAGACCTCTTGAACGAAGGCTTCCCTGTCCCAGACCAGGGATGCAAAGGCGCGCGCGCGCGCCCGCGGAGGACTCGCTCGAGCGCGCGAGGGCCGTGTCGCCCGCGGACGCATCGGACCCTTCGAGGCGCGGCGGGGAAGGAAAGGGGCCCTGAGGAAAGGCGTCCCCATGTCTTGACCGCTTGTCGGCGGCGCGCGCAGAGAGAGAGAGAGAGAGAGAGAGAGAGAGAGGGAGAGAGAGAGAGAGAGAGAGAGAGAGAGAAAGAGAGCGTGTCTTACTCGCTGGCGATAACGGGCGTGCCTGGGGGGGAGGAGGAGGAGGAGGTAGGGAGGAGGAGGAGGAGGGGAGGAGGAGGAGGAGGAGGAGGAGGAGGAGGAGGAGGAGGAGGAGGAGGAGGCGGAGGAGGAGGAGGAGGAGGAGGAAGAGGAGGGAGAGGAGAGAGAAGGCGGCTCGTCACGTCGCGATTCGTACCGGTGCCGTGCGGGCGCGGATCGTAACGTGACCAGGGAGGGGGTAGTGCGGAGGGGCGGGGTCAGTCACGGGCGTTCTCGCGAATAAGAAGGAGTTGGCTCGTACGGCGGCGCGCAGGCAAAGAATGGGCGCTCGGGGCGGTCGCCCGTCGTGTGGCCAGTGCCTCCTAGCCCATGGGGCTGCTGGAGGTATTCTTTCGGTCAGTGAGGTCTCCCTCACTGCCAGCAGTGGTTTCCCAGCCGCCGCTGTTGTGTCCTTTTCACCAAGGCTGTGCGGGCGTTGAGCTCAAAAAAAGGGGGGCTTGTCAGAAGCCTCATTAGAAGCACCCGGGCATTCCTCAGAAAGCAGAGGGTGGCCTCTCAGAAGGCAGGGGCCCTGCTGAGGAGAAGGGCCCCCAGGCTTCCAGGCTTTCCGAGAAGGGCCGGGGGGTGTTTGAGAAGGCGTCCTGGAAGGCCCCGCACTTCGTGCCACCCCTCGGTGCGCGAGGCCAGGGAGGATGAGAGTGGCCCTGCAGAAGGGGGCCCCCGAGGTTCTTCGCCACCGTGCGGCCCCTCGGTGCCCTTCCAGGTCTCCCGTGGCCGCGGGAAGGCGACTCGGGCTGAGCCGACTGTCCCCGAGAGAAGCTCCCGCCCAGCAGGCCCAGGATGGTGGACAGAACCCCCAACAGTGACACGTCGATTAGTGAATTGTCCGTTTTCGGTTCTCGAGAGGGCGCCGTGGCCGTTATTTTCCAGGCTTGCGCCCGCCAGGTTTGGGCCTCGGGTCGTTTTCACTAAACCACGTTTTACTAAAAGGGAGTCTGTCCATCCCCGAGATGAGTCTCTCCAGAGCTTGCCGGGGCGCCGCCAGAGCGCCCTGGAGCGCTCCTGGCTGCCCGCGGCGCCCCGCACGTCCTCCGGACCCGCGGGCTGTTAGAGAGTTGTGCATCCCCATCCAGATTTCTCGCCATCTTGCCTTCGCTTTCCAGCCGCCACGGGGCTTAAGAGCAACCCTGGCTTGGAGGGTCTTGGGGCGCTCTTCTTGTGGGGCCTCGTGCGCTCGGCGCAGCGGCTCGTGTTCTTGACCTGCGTCCGTTTGGCCACGTTTCGGCTGTACCCTCCAGGGCCGATTTCGATGCGATCAATCTGATTCGATATCGACTTTGACTGGCCCGATGCGATTCGATTCCGATATTCGGACGACCCAATGTGGTTCGACACTTGCATGGCGCAATGGTGCTTCCTGACGCGGCCGACCCGATTGGATTTCGACGTCGTGCCGATGCAGCCCGAATCGACGCGCAATCCGATTCCATCCGGTTTCTCGATTCGATACTGTTTGGTCCTGTCCCCATCCGGATTTATCTGGGTCGCCCCCGAGGGGCGCGAAGATGACCGCGCGCCACGGGCTGGACCAGTGCGGCTTGCGGGCAAGATGTTTCTCCATATCCACTGCGCCTTGGAGTTTCGGGCTGCCTTCCTCCGATACCAGGGGCGCCGCGCATGTGGATGAAACAATCCCGCCCCCCCCAGGGGTGCGATTTTATCCATGTCCGCTGCGCCGCGGCCTGCATGGTGGCACGACGCTTGTGTCTTCAGCGTTCCTCATGGCAGCACGGCGCTTGTATCGTCGTGTCTGTGCTCATTCCCCTCCCCGGTGGTCCGAGGAAGAGGGCCTTGCTGTCCAGCTGTCTCCGCATGCCGGGCCCCCCCGGGAGTCGGGGCCCGCCGCTCGGGGACGGGTGTCTGCGCCCGCCTCCTGTTGCCCGACCCCGAGGGCGAGGCGCCGGCCTCCCCCGAAGTCCTGGCTAGAGCGCGAGGAGGAGAAAGGCGGGAGGAGAGAACAGAGGAGGAGAGGAGGAGGAGGAGGAGGAGGAGGAGGAGCGAAGGAGAAAGGAGTAGTTGGAGGAGGAGGAGGAGGAGGAGGAGGAATAGGAGGATGAGGAGGAGGAGAGTAGGAGGAAGGATGAGGAGGAGAGGAGGAGGAGGAGGAGGAGGAGGGATGGGAGGAGATGAGGAGGAGGAGAGGAGGAGTGAGGAGGAGGAGAGGAGGAGGAGGAGGAAGGAGGGAGGAGGAATTGAGAGGAGCAGAGGGTGGCAGGAGGAATGAGGGAGGGAGGAGGAGGAGGAGGAGGAAGAGGAGGAGGAGGAGGAGGAGGAGGAAGAGGAGGAAGAGGAGGAGGAGGAGGAGGAGGACGAGGACAGCCCAGCTGTCTTGCCTCACCCTGCTGCTGCAGCGCCCGCCCCGTGGCTTGCCATGCACGGGCAGCGCGGTCCGACCCAGTGACCGAGCCCAGGGAGGCACCGCCGGGCAGTGCACGTCGGCCGGCGCGCGGAGTCCGAGGGTGACCGAGCCTGCGGATTTGGACGCCCGAAATGGGCACGGAAAGAAAGGGTACGATGCCCAACAGCAGTTCCTGTTCGTTTTGAACAGGACTCGCTGTCCGCGCCGCCGCGGCCTGTGTCCATTCGAGACAGAAGGCCGCCTGCCCAACAGCGGCCGCTGCTGGTTTGGGACAGCATCTGCTGTTGGGCATTGTACCCATTGTTTCCGTGCCCATTTCGGGCGTCCAAAGCGGAGGCCTCGTCAGGGCTCATTTCGATGACTCCGATTCGATCCGATTCGATTTCGATGGCTTCCGATTCCGATTCGGTTTCGGGTTCCGATTCGGGCTGGGATGGTTCCATGGAGGCCTACAAGCTTGCCGATTTCCGCCGATTCGACCTTTCCCGACTCGGCTGCCGCTTTCTGCCGATCCGATTCACTTCGATTGCAGATCCGACTTATCGATTCGATTCTGGGCTTTCCTGCCTTGTGGCCAGTGTTTCCGACCCTGTTCGCTACAGTGGAAGCCCATGCCAAGAAGCACCCTGCTTGCCTCCAGGGTGCCCTGGTTGTCTTGGGTTTCGATGGTTTTGCTGTGGAGCGCGTGACGTTCCCACAGCAAAAATCAAGGGA